CATTGCCCTTGCATTGCTTTGAAAGAGTGAAGTAAATGTATTCAGAACAATACTTTTTACAAAATAAAGCTTTTCCACACGATGAAAAAAAAAAGTACTACCACAAAACTACAACACTAGAATGAAACCTGACAAGTGTCAGGGGACAGGAGCCAAGAAGCACGTCTCCAACTGGTCATGGAATTAAGTTCTGAGCCTCCCACAGCCAAGGCTAAGAAAGGATAAGAAAATGGTCACTCTCACTCTCGAACAGAAGGGGGTTTCTGGATTCACCAGGAGAGCAAACTTTTCTATCTTGGACTTCTGCAAATTGATTTGTTGTGACTTTATGTTAAGGAGATTAAATAAATCCATGGATATATTCTTGAGAGCAATTTTATTTAAAATAATAATAGTAAAGGCCAGGCATGGTGGCTCACACCTGGAATCCCAACCCTTTAGGAGGCTGAAGAGGAAATATCACTTGAGCCCAGGAGTTCAAGACCAGCCTGGGCAACATAGTGAGACTTTGTCGGTACAAAAAAATTTAAAAATTAGCCAGGTGTGGTGGCATGCACTTGTAGTCCCAGCTACATGGGAGGCTGAGGCAGATGGATCACCTGAGCCCAGGAGGTCAAGGCGGCAGTAAGCCGTGGTTGTGCCTCTGCACTCCAGCCTGGGCAACAGAATGAAACTCCAATGTAAAAAAAAAAAAAGATTAGATCTGAAGGGATGTGAAAACACAGAATGGCAGTGTAGGAAGTATATCTTTCCCCATACTTCTTGGTTGTGCTGGTTGAGTACATTATGATAGGTGTAATTGTGGCATGCTGTGTGTGTCTTTGGGCATAAGGATGCTTATCATATGGATCTTAAGAGAATAAAAGGTGTTCGAATCATATGCTGGAAAATATATGATACGGGATTCAGTAAGAGAGTTCTCATGATTTTTGCGGTTCCTGGAGTTGGAAATGGGCACAAGAGGTCAGGTTACCAAATGGACTGTTGCCTGAGTCATTCTTAGTGGTGGGTTAGGGGAAAATGTGTTTTAGTCTAAAAAAGGTAGAAAAATAAGTAGATTCCTATAACATGGTTCCAGGACTGATATTTGATCCTGGAAAAGAGAGGATACTAGCCATAAGTATCATGTTTAAAAATATACACAAAGACATTCATTTGTGTGGAAGTTACAATAAGTTTGAGAATCATCTTGTTGCATCACCCTGAACTGAGGTTGTCCACTTCTGGAGCTGTCTGCTTCATCCACAGGCCTTTGTCCTGCTTCTGGAAGTTTTGTGGCTACCCTGTCTGAGGTGGTGGTATGAGTCCACCCACTGATTTAGATTTGTAGCCTGTTTCTACTGTGACCCGTGAGCATTTGGGTCAATACCCCAGAGTCTGAGAGCCCTGCATTTGTCACGAGGGCCTGAGATGGTCCCTCAAAAAAGAGAGTTTTTGCCTTGACATGTCTTCCAGCAGACCCAGACATCAGGCTGGACAAGTTTAGGTGACATTTCCTTCGAATGACATTTCCTTTGGGCACAAGACTTAGTATGTGAGGTGTGACCTTGGCAACAGGGCAGAGCCAGGTCTTGTTGGAGTTACTCCTGATCACTCAGGGCACCCCATAGTGATTTCATGGGGAGCCAGACTTCATAAGCCCTCAGAGCTGGTCACACCAGCAGCCTGTTGCCCACTCAGCAGATTGTTGACCCAGGAGTTAAGTTGTCATCTTCTGCTTACTGATAAAGACCAAGGCTGCATAACCAGTAAAGCTGGCTCAAAACTCAAGGCCCAGGAAGGTCAAGGGCTTTTTTTAGTCACACAGTTTTACCTTCATCGTTTGATTGACTTTCTATTTTGTGACCACTGTGATGATTCAGACAGTGAAATGTCTAGTTAGAAGAAGAACCCTCCAGTACCCAAGTTCCACCACCTCTTGACAAGAAGATAGATATTGTCCATGTTGAAAATAGAAAGTGTAGCAATAGGCAAACTTGCCCATGGCCCTGAATCCTATCGCACCCTTACAGACTTGCCTGGGTTATATTGTTTGCAGATGAGACATGACTCTACCACTTCTAGGTCCAATTCTAAAAATTTTCCTGACCAATGTGTATTGGGTGTAAAACCTAATGTGTTTTTTTTTCTCCATAATGTGAACAGTTACAGAGTAATTTAACTGGGAGGAATCATGGCACTAATGGGCAGCTTTCCTGAGATTACCAGTTTATATCTCTATTGAGAAAGTATTTTTGAGATCACCAATATTATTTTCCAAACATTTGCATCGGCTTTTGTGAATCAGTTATAAATAGATCCAATTTTCCTCCTGAAAGTTTAGCAGATAGATATCAATTATTATTCTAGAATTACAAAAGTAAAAGCTATTTTTTTTTAGTATGAAGTCAACAAGAACACAGCCCTTGACTTCTAGGATGGTCTCTCAACTGGGGGCTTCTACCTGAATATCTGATATCTCCTCCAGATAACGGGTAATTTCTCATAAGTTATGCTTACTCATTTTTTGATGGGAGTAATTACAGATGTCATAAATCCTCTGTCTCCATGACATCCCCAAATCATGAACAAGTTCAAATGCCTGTATTACCTGCTCTCTGTACAAATGTTTACCTTTTCACCTTTGAAAATGATACAGCTTGTGCTCAGGGCCACAAGTTTGGTCATGGGTTAAACCTCACATTAGGCAATAGAGTGTTTGGTGGGTGCCTGACACTGTTTCCTGTACATTGTGAAAAGGAGAGCCATTCATGTACAATATCAAACATCAGCATTGACTTAAGAGCTGACTGTGAGATTAGGCTTTGGCATAATTAACTCTTGAGCTTCTGCTAAATAACCTTGCAGTTGTTTTTTATCTGTCGGAGGGGATATAGGTATGGACTCAGGATTTGAGCTATGTGGAACACAAAATGAATGGAAAAATATTAGGTAAGTGGTAGGTTGTCTAGAAGCAACAGGGATCACACAGCATATGTGGAAACTGTCTAGTTCAGGGGAAGACAAGCACTGCATGTGGGGAAGTTACAATTCGTGTAGCTGCTTCTGCCTGGCCTATAGGCAGGGGTGTGACTGAGCTCTGGAGGGAGGGATAGGCTGAGAAAGGCAACAGCTACTGGTGGGCACAGCTCTGCAACTCAGCGTCCACGCATCAGCCTGATCTTCCACCAACACACCCAGAGAAGGGGCTGGCAGAGGGAAGGACATCCAAAGTTTCTGGAGAGTTCTGAGGGACCTTTTAAAGAGGAGTTCTCATGGACTTCCATAAGTAGTGCCTGTCTCAGGATCACAGCCTCCAGTAGTGGCCAGGAAAAGGTCTTGCCCTGGCAATGCCAGGAAACTCCAGAGCACACCCCAAGCAGGAGGAAAGAGAGATAAGAGTGGGCTCAGCTCTCACTCAGCTCTCACTCAGTCACTCAACCACTGCCCATATCAGTATTAAGTTGAGAGACAGTGGTAGCTTGGATCAAGATGGTAGCAATGGGTATAGTGACAGACAGCCGGCTTCTGGATGTTTTGACATCATAGTCAGCAAGTCAGCTAGTGGTGGCTGTGGGGCTGAGAAGCAGAGAGGAGTCAAAAGAACGAGCAGATCTTTGACCAGCACAGTTAAGAGGTTGGAGCTAGCCTTCATAGAGATGGGAAGGCCTGGAAGTTGGGGCTCATAATGTGCCGGGAGCAAGTGCTTTGACTTGGTCACTATGGTATCCACATGACAGAAAGTGCCTGGCACATAGGAGGTCATTGCATGAGTCCACTCAGGCTACTGTGACTAAGGACCATAGCCTGGGTTGCTCAGACACACAGCAGACATTGTCTCACAGTCCTGGAGGCTGAAAGTCCAAGATTAAAGTGTCGGCAGGGCTGGTTTCTTCTGGAGGCCCTGAGGAGGGATCTGTCCTCTTCCCCCAGCTCCTGATGACTGCAGCATTTCTTGGTGCAGGGGCTGGACCACAGCACTGCAGTCTCTGCCTCTGTCTTCACACGGCCTCCGTCCTGCAGGTCTCTGTGTAGCCCATTTCCCTTTGCTGTCTCTTATGAAGGATGAGATTTAGAGCCCAGACTGAATCCAGGATGATCTCATCTTGAGAACTTTACCTTCCTTATGTCTGCAAAGAGCCTTTCTCCAAAAAGGTCATGTCCACAGTCTCCAGGTGGACATAAATTCTTTTTTGGAGGCAGGTGGGGGCACCATTCAACCTTGATTCACTTTAGAGGGGAGGAGGGTCCTGTAAGTCAGAATGGGAAAGGGTTCACGTTCAGAGTCCCCAGCCTGGCCCAGAGTCCTGGCCTAGGCCAGTCGCCGGCCCTCTTGTTATCAGTCTGTTGACCTAGAAAACACAGATAAGCAATGAATGCATAGACTTGTTGTGACAATTAAACATGTGTGTCCTAGCACAGTGCAAGGTGAGACCAGCAGGAAATGTCCCAGCTAATCTCAATAGCACTAAATTAATCTGAGCACAGGCCACAGCCTAAGACATGTGAACCCCCAGACACTTGCCTCTCCCAAGGTCCCTAGCAGCTGGAACTGAGACTGGTGTGAGACAGTGACCGCACAGGTCTGACTTCAAGCAGGCCCGAGAGGTGCTACCTGTGATCTCCCCACGCCTAACGGCTCTCCCACCAGGTTCTGAGCCATAGAAAGCTGATGTCGTAGATGACAGGGTCCATCAGATGTGACAGAAAAACACTGAGACTCTCCCCTGGAAACATGGAGTCCATTGCCCCTGTCCCCAAGCCCTGGGCCCCTAGAAACTGACTTGTCCTCTGTGGCTGCCAAGAGTTCCTCCTGTGGACAAGAGGCCTGTGATGGGCCCTTGATCTCTACATCTGTGTGCAGGGGAGGGTTGTAGAGTGGCGTGATGAGGGGCTTGGGGGAGGACTTCTGGTGATGTGTGGACCATTCTATCTCATGTCTTTCCAGAGCTTGTCAAGAAGCTTGGAGGTAGGTAAGCACTGCAGAGAAAGTACCCGCCAGCACTGACCAGGAATAGAGAATGCAAAAGGACCAGCACACCAGGGGCTATGGGAGGCAAAACACAGTTCCTTCCCGACACAACCCCTCAAAATTTATCTTCCCGCCACCGTCACTTGGCAAAACACCAGGACAAAAGATGTCGCAACCAAACTGGCAGGTTGAGGAGATGAACACTGACTTGCCAAAAGTCTTCAGTTTTCTAGATTCAAACTTTCAGCAGCCACCAAGAACCAACAACCAACCCTGGGCAAAGGTAAGTCCTGTGGACAGATTTTTTTGAAGGGGCATTCTGGCCACCATTGCAGGTGGCTGGAGAGTAAGCCCACCATGGTAATAAAGCCAACTAGTCTACACACTCCTCCTGCTGCTAGTACAGTGTCTCACAACTCTTCCAGTCATGTCCCCCAAGTACCAGGGATGTAAACAGACCCTACAGCAGCAATAAACCTCCGATATATGAGTCTGGGGACTTCTGTGTCCTGAGGTCTCCTTCCTGGGACCTCTGAGAAGTGGGTCTGGGAGCTCCTGTTCTTTGTCCTAGGGTCTCTTTCCTGGGGTCTCTGAGACATGGGTCTGGTAGCTTCTCTTCTGTGTGCTGGGTTCGCCTTCCTGAGGCCTCTGAGATGTGGGTCTGGGGGCTTCTGTTCTGTGTGAGATCTCCTTCCTGTAACTTTTCTTCCAGCTGCCCCTGCAACCATCACCACCACCAACCAACCAACTCCACCTTCTCCCACTGTCAACCAACTCTTAGCCCCAGGGCCCAGCATCCCTATCTTCCCTGGCTGGGCACTCTTGCCCCCTTGAAAACCATTCCCTGCTCAGTGCTTCCAGCTCTCCCTGGAAGCACCCCTCTTCCCTGGCAGCCAAATCTCCCAGCATCCACAGAAAAAAGGCTTCATTAGGAGCAGAAGGAAGGGTTCTCGCCAGAGGCACCTCCCTCCACCTCCTCCCCCTCCTGTGTGCTGTCCAACATCCTAGCTGCACAGATTCTGCCACTAATTCCCTGTGATGGTGAGAACCTGTCAGGGACCAAAACAGTGGTGTGTGTTCTGCCTTCTCCAGGGACCTGAGAACAGTCTGTTCAGCCAGTATGAGAAGAAATTGCGCCCCTACATCGACCTCATTGACTCCCTGCGGTCTCTGGGTGTGGAGCAGGACCTGGCCCTCCCGGCCATTGCCGTCATAGGGGACCAGAGTTCTGGCAAGAGCTCCGTGCTGGAGGCGCTGTCAGGAGTCACCCTGCCCAGAGGCAGCGGTAAGGATGGGCCAGCTTTGCTCCCTGTGGGTGGTTTGGGGGGTGGCATCTGAGTGCACAGACGGGTTCCTGTCCACATTTAAAGGGCCATTGCTGCCCTGTGTGCCTCAGGGTCCGGGGGCCTTGCTGTTTCTTCTTGTGGTCTTTGTAAGAGTGTAGAAGCGTGTCTCCTTTGATCAGTTTAAGTTGGTAGCACATGAGGTCTTTTGAAAGAATTTTCTTAAAGTTTTGAAAAACAATTAGCCAGGATCATGGTGTAACAAGACACATTGACATTGACATTGACATTGGCATTGGCACTGGCACTGGCCTTGGGAGGATCTTTTTGTCCCTCCTTTGATGCTCAGCTTCTTCCCCAGGCTCTTGCCACCTTCTCCCTGCACCCCCAGTCCCAAGTGTTTGTTTGGGGAGCTCTGGGAGGGGTTAGCTGTGCCTGGGAAAGTCTCGCTGTGTCACATTCCCTCTGCCCCCTGCCCAGGGCTGCCCACCAGGATGCTTGCAGAGCCTGGGACAGACACCTGAGGCACTGGCCCCAGCTGCAGGGGAGTCTGGAGAGGTGCTAGAACCCTGGGATTCACTTGTATCACTCACGAGGCAGGGCAGCATGGTGGGGACAGTGGCCATGGTCAGCTGCTGGTGACTGCTAGAGCCCAGGATGCTCACTCCAACTGCAAACACTTCCAGAGGATGGTAGCGCCTCCTGGAGTCCTGTGCCACTTTGTACCTGTCCATTCCAGACCCATCTCACATATTGCCAGGCCCAGAAAGAACCAGAGGTTCAGACAAAGTCTCTGGGGACAACAGAGCAGGTCCTGGGAGCCAAGGGAAGAGCAACATTTCATTTAAAGGACACTTAGGATGTTTGTGGACTCTCTCTCAGGCATCGTGACCAGATGTCCGCTGGTGCTGAAACTGAAGAAGCAGCAGCAAGAGCAGGTGTGGGCTGGAAGGATCAGCTATCGGAATATAGAGCAGCAGCTGGAGAATCCCACCCAAGTGGAGAAGGAGATCTACAAAGGTGCGCTCTTGTGGTCAGTCTCCTGGGAACATGCAATCTCTGCACAGGGCTGCCCTCATGCTGTCACCTCCACCATCCCTCTAGACTCTTCTCCAGGTCACCTCTCATGGAGTCAGCCCTGTTGAAGACCCGCGCTGGCTTCTCTTGGTGGCCACAGCCCACATGGCTGGCCTGCCCCATCCTCTCTCCCATCTCTTCTCCATCTTGGGGTTCCCTCTGCTCCATGAGAAAACATGTCCTCTCTCCCTTCTAGGCTCTTCCATGTGCTCATACCACAGTTTCCCCTCCTCCTCACCTACCTGATCCCTCCTCATTCTTTGGGTCTCAGTTTACCTGCTTCTTCTTTAGAAATCTCTCCACAGGACTCCCAGTCCTACCCTAGATGTCATGGTCATTGCTGGCCTTCCTGAGTCATTGTTCTAACCCTGGGGACCACATGGAGGCTACATTTCACTCAACCTCCCCCAAACATGAGTTCTTTCCACCTGCTGTCCCTTAAGGCACAGCTGGCACATGGCTATTGATCAAGTTTCCCAGTGCTTGTTCTTGGCAAGGATGGATTTGTAAAAAGACTCGATTGCTCCTGGAGTCCATGGTCATACCCCCCAGAGGGCCCCTGGTGGTCCCCCATTGAGTACATAGCCCTGCTGCTTCAAGAACTGTTGCCTCTCTTCCCTACCTACAGTTTTCTCCCCTTTCCCAATTCCACAGCCCATCTCAGGGCTCAGCCAGGACAGGCAAAAAGTAACACTGAACGAACCAAGAATCTCTGTAGGAATAAACTCAGCTCGAGGAAGGCTTTCTACATTACTGAATAGCATACTCAGTGTCTGGAGAGGAGGCATTTAGATGTCCCTTTTTGGAGAACCCCGTCTGTCTGTGTCAATGGGCTCTTCAGGGATCCCGTACCAAATTGAGAAGTCCTGTCCCCCGTTTTAGTGCTCACCCCTCAAATACAGAAGCTGCTGGAGACCCTCATTGGTAAGTTTCCCAACTTCAAAGGTAAAAGTTCTGCACCCTACTGTGCCCACCACAGCTGCCATGGTGCTGCCCTTGGCACATCTTATAGCATTTGTTGATATTTGTCTGGAATGTCTCCAATGGTGAGCTCTGCGGGGCAGACTTTGAAAAGCTGTGTTTAGCAGAGTGCCAGGACATCATGGGTGCATGCTTGGCAAAGGCTTGGGGTAAGAATGAGTCATGAGAAAACCATGGCCAAGACATCTTTAGAATAGCATCTCAGAACACTCCTCTGAGATGTGTAAGTTGGGGAGTGTAAGTTGGTGCAACCACTTTGAAAAACTCTTTGGTAATCTCCACCAAAGCTGTTGGCAGGAGGCCACAGTTTCTCACCTTGTGGACTTCTCTGTAGCTACCTGGTGTCCCTGTGACATGACAGCCAGCTTCCCCTGGAGCCAGCATCTAAGAGAAAGCAAGGAAGAAGCTGAAATCCTTTAGGAACTGATCACACACTATCATCTTCACTGTATCTGTTTGTTTGAAACAAGCCCCTATGTTTAGTCCACACTCAACCTTCCTCCTTTTGTGGGAAGAATGTAGGAGAATTTGGGGGCATATTTTAAAACCACCATAGCACTTACTGGAAAATATTGGAAAGCATGAAGTTAGAGCAGAACCCATACACAATCCCATGCCTAACATGTTGGAATGTTTTCCTCTGGTCTTTTGGGAAGTGTATGTCCATGGTACCTTCATGTTAAACAGCCAACTCAGTGGCTTCTGAGATGATTCCTCAAAATTCTATGAAGTGTTAGGAGCCTGAGGTAGGAGGATTACTTGAGGCTAGGAGTTTGAGGCCACCCTGGGCAACATAGCAAGACCCTGTCTCTATGAAAATAAATAAATAAATGTATATATATACATATATGTGTGTGTGTATATATATTAGCTGGGCATGGTGGCCATTCTTGTAGTCTGCAATACTCAGAAGGCTGAGGCAGGAAGATCACTTCAGCCCAGGAGTTTGAAGTTGCAGTGAGCTAGCATCATACCATTGCACTCTAGCCTGGGCAAAGAGTTAAGGCCACATTTCAATAATAATAATAATAAAATAAATAAACACTAGGGATTCTCTGTTGTTCCCAAGCCCTGGAAATAAGTAGTTACTTGCCAAGTACAACTTCTTGCTCTCGGATGAGTCATTAATTCATACTCTGGGTTTCTCCTCTGCTGGCCTCCATAGCCCAAAACATTATAGCAGGAAGAGGCTTGGGCATCAGCCACGAGCTCATCAATCTGGAGATCACCTCCCCTGAGGTTCCAGACCTGACCATCATTGATCTTCCTGGCATTGCCAGGGTGGCGGTGGGTGATCAGCCCCAGGACATCGGAGATAAGGTGAGCCTTTTTAGGATTTGGGAATGGGCCCAGTGGCAGTGATGGGACTTCAAAGGTGCCTCCCTATAGCAGGATGCTGGTGTGCCTTCCTGAGCCTTGACACTGAGGGATGAGGGAGGAGTTCAAGCAGGGGCCTCATGCTTGAGCTCTGACTTGGGCAAGTCATCAAAACAAGATCAGTAGACTCAGGGTGACTTGTAGGCACTTGGGACAGTGCACACCCTGCCCACTATTGTCATGCAAGACTGTAAGCCCAGTGTTACCAGCTCTCTTATTTGAAAGAGAGCAGAAATTTGGATTTCTACATGAATTCTGACCATTTTAGCAACATTTAAAAAAATTCACATTAGCTAAGTGAGTCAGAATATAACTGGTGTAAGAGGCCTAACTTTTGTCCTATCTCAACATGCCTTCCTCACTAAGCTTAATCATTTCTAGCATTTGATTTAAAGTGAGAGATGTGTGACTTTTCCTTTTGCCCAAAACACTAAGAGATCATTGTAGAGTTATTAATTGGCCTAATTTCAATATTGTCATGCGTCTGGGAGTAGGGGGGCCCAAGAACAGGGAGAGAGATGGAGGAGCAGTCAGAACACAAGCAACATTTATTGGCTAAGTTCTTCATTTTATGTGGTTGTGGTTTGTGGTACCCCAGAATGATTACAATAGTAAAATCAAAGATCACTGATCACAGATCACCATAACAGTTATAATAGCAATGAAAAAGTTTGAAATTAATATGGTGAGAATTATAAAAATGTGACACAGACACACAAAGTGAGCACGTGCTGTTGGAAAAGTGGGCCGATAGACTTGCCCAGCTCAGGGCTGCCACACACTTTCAATTTGTAAAAAAGCACAATCTTTGGAGTGCAATAAATCAAAGCTCAATGAAATGAGATGTATATGCTCCCCTTGTGACCCTTCTCCAGCATAAGTGCTGCCTTCAAGAGGAAAAGAAAAGTATGTTCCCTTAGGGAAAACTGCAATGGGAGAACAGGAACACAGGACTAGTTGGGAAACCATGAAAAATATCATTGTGGCTGCAAAAAACTACAAGTCAAAAGAATGAGGGGACAGGAGCTGTTACAGAGGAAGGGAGGAAGGAGAATGCCAAGACCAACCTGGGAATCCATCCTAAAAACCTTTCTCTATCAAGTTCCCACCATGCTTGGCTACCTCAGGGCTGTCCTGGACAACACTTTTCTGCAGGTCCTGTGCATTCAGCTCCCACCAGTTCTGTGAGACCCCCAGAGCCTTGCCCTACCCAAATCTGGCTGAGGCTTCAGGTGACCTCTCTGAGCACCAGGAAGTCGCCGTTGGGAATTCCCCAATTTTTTAATGCTGTTCTCTCATAGCATCCTTGGTATATGAAGGAACATTCCTCTTTCATTTCCTAGAACTTGTGTCCTTTGCTTTGCTCATGAGCCCAACCTACCTAGGCACGTCTTAGTCACAGAGGCAAAACTTCTCGCACACAATTGTGTGCCTTTCTGGAGTTCTTCCCACCCTTTCCCTTATATTTGTGTGTCTTTTTCTCAGACTCTTCATTGTCTTTGATTCTCAGAGGCAGTGCCAAGGTCAGACTACTGTCATCATTGCCCCATCTTTCCATCTTCTTGAGAACACATGGGAATATGAACTTTCTCAACAAGAACACATTTATCTTTGCCTGTTGCTGGTTATGCCTTCCCCTCCATGTGAAGGTTGATTTAACGCACATGAAAAATGGAGCAGGCACTATTCTTTGCCTGACTTGCCTCCCCAGCTTGTTCCTGTTAAAGGTCCTTCTGTTTCCACAGCCTTGTTGCATCATTCCACTTCCCTGGCTGCATGTGCAGAGATGTGTTCATCCACCAAATGTGTTGATTTCCAAGTGTAATTTATCATTCCCTCTTTCTTAAAAGTCTTTTTCTCTGACCTCTGGGCAAATTGACTCTGGTCCTTTCCTTCCCTCCCCTTGGTGTCTCCTTAGCCAATTCTTCCTGTCTTCCCTGACCTCCAGATGGCCTTAGAACACACTTCTTCCCATTGAAAACTCTCTCTTTGTATCTCTAGTCTCATGACTTTGGATATCACTTCCACAATTCCTAAGTTTCTATAGCCAGTCCTGACCTTAAGACTTCTATCCCTAACTGCTGACTCACCATCTGTCCTTGAATGTCTAATGGGCACAACAGACCCAGAGGGTCCAAGCAACACCTGATTTTCCTCCCACACTGGCCTTCTCCACAGACGTCCTCATCTCAGACAATGGCACCTCCACCCTTGCAGTGGCCCAGGCCACCATCGCTGGTGTCAGCCTCTACTTCTCTCTCACACATACGTCCAGTCCATCTACAAACCCTCCTGGCTCTGCTTTCAGTCACATGCACTGGCCCACCACATCTCTCCCCACCCTCGCCTAAGTCACTACCATTGCCAGCCTGGGTTACTGCCTCTGCACTGAATTCCTGTTGGGGTTTTCTGCCACTGCCCTTCCCAGCAGCACCCATCCCAAATGTGTTACCTACATGGCCTGTATGTTTTAAAACACGAGTCCTATTCAGTCACTTCTCAAAGTTCTCCACCAGTTCCCACGTCAATCAGTGTAAAAGTTTTGAGGTTCAACATGATCCGGCCCCTCTGCTTCCTGGACCATATCTCCTGTCACAGTGCCCACACCCTATACTCTAAGTCCTCCACCTGAGCACATATTCCACCCTCTGCCACAATGCTCTGCTGCCTGCATCTCCATGAGGCACATCTCTATGTCTTTCAGGTTCTGCTTCAATGCCACTTGTTAGGGTTGCCTTCCCAACACTCTGTGCCCCATGCCTGGCCTTTCCGATTCCATGTGCCCTCCTGAGCATGGCTCCATATTGAGTGTGCATTGCCTGTATCCCCTTCTTGGATGTAAAGCCCTGAGGGACATTGTCTGTATGTTCCATGCTGAGTAGATCCCAGGATGGCCCCATTATCAGGTGGGTACCTGACAACTGTCTGTTGAGTCCATAGAACACGATCTTTGTGATGCTTCCCTCTCCAGGAAGACTGTCCTGGGGAGCAGTTATCACTCTCCGAGATCCTACACATGAGTGAGTGTTTGTTTACCACCCTGATTCCCAGCCCAAAGCTCTTGTACCCCCAAGAGACACTGGCAATGTCAGAAAGTATTTTTGGTTGTCACAGCTCAGGTGGGGAGTGGGGTTTGTTACTGGTTTGGATGCTACTGGCATCAGTGGGTAGAGACCAGAGAGGCTGCTCAACAGGATACCCCCACAATGAAGGGTTATCCTTATAAACTGTTAATAGTGCCAAAGTGTAGACCCCTGGGCTGTGGGGTCTGCACACTTGCAGATGTCAGTGGACTGCCACACAGATGCGCCAGAGGGTATAAGCATGAGCAAAAAGTCAACTTTTAACTTCAGGACAATTAGCACAACAGCCTGCTCATCAAGGCTGCTTGTAATGTTACCCAGTTATATCTTCTCATGGCCAAGGATTCCTGGAACCTGTTCATATTTGTCAATTGTATTTGACCCCAGCACTACGTCTCTTATATATTGCTAGCTAGTGCTAATGGGATGCAGGATTTCCATGTTTTAATGTACAGTATTATCTTCTGTGCACAATTTAAAATAATTATATGAGGCAGTGTCTGAGTACAACTATTTATAAACTGTGTCAAAATATAAGGAAATACATCCCAAGGCACTAGCCTTTTCCATGTTTGTTTGTTTGTATTGTCTGTGGGGAAAAATAATATTGAAAATTAGTATTTTAAGGCTTATGTTGTTTACACCTCCATTTTTGCTTACAAATTCTAAGACACTTTATTGAATTTCTCTAATTTGAATGAGCCAGACCCCTTTCAAGAAGTTTATCTAAAAAGTCATTAATATTAAGGACAGACATGTGTAGGGATATTATTGATCTCAGACACTCGAGGACCTTGCTGCTAGGAAAACTATATCCTGTGCTCCTGCTACTTGGAGCTTCATGCTGGACTCTGCTTGGGGACACTGGGGAAAATAAGATATCACTAATGGCCACAAGGGTATCTCTGGGCTTCTGGAGCAGACATGGCACATACACATAACTCTGATAAAAGGCAGAATCTCTGAGGCATCTTGGGCAAGATCGGAGAGGAAGAAGGGTCTCACCTAGATGCCAGAATCAGAGGGTCTTCAGGAAAGAAGAAATGCCAGTGACAGGCTTGAAGGAAGTCAACAGACAGCAGGGCAGGAGAGCTGAGGCAGGTGTACAGAGGAAGGGGACGGGACAGGCAAAGCCAGAGGTCACACACTGGGATAACGTTGCCTTTGCACCATTATATCAGTCTGTGTGGCTGTATTGTTGATGACCAGAGGTAAGATGTGTGCTCTTTCTTTGTGATTCTTTGGCATCAGATCAAGGCACTCATCATGAAGTACATCGAGAAGCAGCAGACAATCAAACTGGTGGTGGTCCCCTGTAATGTGGACATTGCCACCACAGAAGCACTGAGAATGGCTCAGGAGGTGGACCCTGAGGGAGACAGAACCATAGGTAAGAAAAAAGAGTCACACTTCTAGAGGACAAAAAAGGAGATAGAAACACCTCATCTCTTTAGAAGGGCCTGGAATGTGGTGCTGTTGGAGAGGCTCTGCATTCTGTGCTGAACACAAGAGCTGTTGTGCTTGTTCATTGGGGATGGCTTGTTGACATCCGAAGCACCTCATATATTCTGCCCAGTAGATCTGTTTAATACTAATATATCTATAGCAATTTAGTACCACTTCTTAGTAATAGTAAGTTTTCTGGTCCTTTAATTTGCCACAAACTTAGATAACCAAAAGTTCTCAATAAATGTTAACCATTATTATGAATTCAGTCAATCATTATAGTATAGAGTATACACAATCAGATTCTAGTGGAACTCAAAGCAATATGACAACAGAAATGCCAATTTTCTGTGCATTCTAGGTCACATATAGAAATGGAGAAAAGCATACCAGTTGAAAAGGGAAATGGAACTACACCCATGTTCACTGCTGTGTTACAGTAGCTAAAGGTGGGAGCAACCCATGTGTCTATCGATGGGTGAATGGATAATCAAAATGTGGCATATACATAAAATAGAATATGATTTAGCCTTAAAAGTGAAGGAGATTCTGCAACATTCTACAACATGAATGAACCTCGAGGACATTATTCTAAGTGAAATGCAAGTAACAAAAGGACAAGTAACGGTGTGATTCCACTTATGTGAGGTCCCTAGAGTGGTCAGATTCACAGAGACAGGAAGTAAGATGATGATTGTCAGGTGCTGAGGGAGGGGGAAATGGAGAATTTGGGACAAAGATTCTATTTGGGAAAACAAAAAAAGTTCTGGAAATGGATGGTGGTGATGGTTGTACAACAGTGTGAATGTGCTTGATGCCACTGACCTATGACTGTAAATATGGTTAAAATTGTAAATATTAAACATGCTCCTGCTGGCCTCCTGGTATTCATCTGGCCCATGACACTGCCCTCTCCACTGGTCTTCCAACATGTAAATTGGGTCATGACCCTTCTTTTTATATTCTCTACTGCTCCAATCTCAAGTGTGTATAAACCCCAGACTTCTTTACCTGGGCAGCAGAGCCCTGGTTCCCTGGTCCCTGATTGCCTCTCTGATCACAGTTTTCATTGCTCTCTGTCTTGTTCATGACACTCCAGTATGGCCTGGTCATCCCATATCCCTCCTACACAAGGACCTGGAGTGCTCCTTCTCCATCCTCACTGGGCTGGTTTCTTCCTTCCTTCAGATCTCAGCTCAAATGTAGTCTCCCAGAAAGGAAGGATGGCCTTCCCACTGCACCGCGCACCTCAGTTATTCTCCAGCTGATCACTTTATTTAATTCTCTGCATAGCACTTATCAATATCAGTTATCCTGCCTCATTTCTTGTATATTACTAGATTAATTTCTCTGGAGAGAAAGTTTCAGGAAGAGGAAACCAGATAGCCAGACTTAACCACAAACTAAAACTAAGAGAAAATAGCAGAAGGTGACATTCAGTTTTCTAATATAAACAAACAAAAAAATGCAGCAGCAATTTGACACTCAAACAACATAAACAAAAATAAGAAACTTAGAATGCAAAGCTTTCAGTTCAACATGAACAGGAAGGTATGGAGACAAAAGAGTTGGTAAAGAAGCTAAGGGAGAACAGAGGAGGTGCCATGAAAGAGGGCTGAGTGAGTCTGTGCAGGAGACACTGGAGAGGGACATAGTCTCTCCCTATGCTGGGGGATGAGGTATTCTTGGAAACATGGCGGATGGAGCCAGTCGGTTCTAATTAAGTGTGCTGCCCTGATATCAAGGCACCCAGTAGGCACCCAAGAAACATTTGTTAAGTATTAGGGAGACCAAAAAAACTCAATTTATTTATAAAAAATTATTTATTTATTCTTATATCTTTAAACTTCAGTCATCTTCAAAATACTCTCCGTTTGATGCAATACACCTATCGAGATGCTGTTTCCATTGCTCAAGACAGTTTTTGAACTTGTTCATTTGGATGTGTTTTAGTGCTTCTGCCATTTTTTGTTTCACCTCTTCCACATCGGCAAAACGTTTCCCTTTGAGGACTTCTTTCATCCAGGGAAACAAACAACAACAACAAAAAGCTGCTTGGGGCAAAATGGGGTGAATAAGGACACAGAGTTCATGCCGTTTTAGTCAAAAACTGCTGGACATTCAGTGTAATGTGGGCAAGTGCATTGTTATGGTGGAAGAACCAGTCACCTGCTTGCCACAACACAGGACATTTCTTCGGCAAATCATGATGCAACCTTCTCAAAAGTTCCAGATAAAAACCAATGGGTTCCTAGAACTCTTACCTAGTGGGGAAAGCCTGTATTACAAGGGGCCTACCCTCCAAAAGATAATTCCAGGTTTTGGGGTCCCCCACATAAATTATGTATGACACAGAATGAATTGAGTGAGAGGATGAGTAGGTGAGCCAAGAGAAACATAAATAAGAGGGTTGATGAAGGAATAATGATGGAATGAGTGGATGGTTCTCAGGCACTGGAGGAGCAAGACTGTAGAAGATTTTGTTGATCATGACCAAAAAAGGAGCCTGTAGCCTAACCGGGGTCAAATATATTTGAGGAGACAACTGATCTTTCCATTGTTTTTCTTCCTCCATCTCACAGGGATCCTGACCAAACCAGATCTCGTGGACAGGGGCACTGAACAGGTTGTCATGAATGTGGTGCGTAACTTCACATACCCTCTAAAGAAGGGCTACGTGATCGTCAAGTGCCGAGGCCAGCAGGAGGTCACAGACAAGCTGAGCCTGGCAGAGGCAACCAGCAAAGAAAGGATGTTCTTTGAAAGACATTCGTATTTCAGGTGAGACTCTTTAGGAAAGCTCTGCAACTGCACTCCACAGGAGCCATGCCCACTGAGCAGAGCTGGCTAAGATGATAACGAAGCTGTATATAAAAATGAACACAGCTGGGCTTGATGGCACACACCTGTAATCCCAGCACATTGGGAGGCAGATGTGAGAAAATTGCCTGAGTCCAGGGGTTCAAGACCTCATCTCTACAATAAATCAAGAAATCAGTTGGGTGTGAAGGCACACACCTGTGGTTCCAGCTACTTGGAAGGCTGAGGTGGAAGGATCAACTGAGCCCGCCACTGCACTCCAGCAGTGGCAACTCCAACTCAAAAAAAAAAAAAAAATTAACACAATGTAGCATAATGTATTTTTGCCTTATTTCTGTGTTAAATGCATTGGCTTATTTAAGCAAATTATCATTGCCTGGATTCGAATAATGGTGCTGGTTAAAAGGTGGAATGTGACATAAAGAGCACACAGCACTTTGACTTCTGTGAGAATATCTCCACTTGCTTTCTCATATGAGTCCCACAAAATCTTAAGAGGTACATAAGGCAGGTGATGCCCTTCCCGCTTTTATAGATAAGGATAATAATATAGATATATAATATAGATAGTGAGTGAAAGCAGACTTTTAAATTCCAGAAACCTGTGTCTATCATCATAAATGGCACACATTGAAACCTGCTCTAAGGTACACTCCTCCTTTTTAGAGCTTGCAACTAACTGGCTTATTAAACATAAATCATCCTATGGAGACTGTGTAACCATGATCTTGCCTAGACTTGACATCTCTACTTGGATGTCCAATGATGTCTCCAGTAAAAATGTCACCAAAACAAAACTGTCGATTCTGTATCCTTTTGAGGACACTGGGATTTTTCCCACTGGATTGAGCACTTTACCCCTTCATTTTATTCAGGAACTTGCTATTCCTGGATGAGTTGGGAGTGGGTGATAAGACAGAGGTCACTTTTGCTTTAAACAGGTATATACTGGGAAAACCATAAATCTGGGCAGAGCAGACTTACTACTTGCTTATTATGTATTCTTGGGAAATGGGTCACTCTCTCTGGGTTTTCACTGTCTCATCTGCTCAAGGGAACCTTACTACTGCTTCCCAGTATTATGGTAGGATTAAATAATTAATCAGAGTCTCTGGAGTGTTTGTTAAAATCCTGCTTGGTCTGTCCTACCCTGAGGTCTGGATTGGGACCCAAGATTGTGTTCCTAACAAGTTCTGGGTTGAGGCTGATTTAAAGACCACACTTTAAAAGTCACTACTCAAGATCTCTGGGAAAGTTAAATCTTAGATTAGAAAGTGCATTGAAATGCTTTGTAGTTGAACACTCGAGTTGAAATCCTTGCATGTCCACTGCTGAGGGTCGGCCTTTGCAATGAGAGGCACTGAATGCCATGCTAGAAAAATGGTCCTTCCATAATTCATACTACTGGCAATCACTCTGCAGCCAGACTGCCTGACAAGCTGGCCACCTCATCCCTCTATGACTTGGCCTTTCTTTCTCTAAAATGGGTTGTTGAATGATGAAATACATTCATATTTATAAAGCCTTAGAATGGTGCCTGGCACTTAGTAGGTACCATACAATCATTTGTTATGAGAAATAAAATACTAATTTGGGCAAACCACTTCACCTCTAGAAGTTAGATTTGTTCTGTTTTCCTGTAGGTAAGATGACCTACCTCATGAGTTTTTTGGGATGATAAACAGGGAAAATAAATAGAACCTGGATGGGCACCATGGCTCATTCCCATAATTTCAGGATTTTGAAGGTCAAGGCGGGAGGATTGCTTGAGCACAGGAGTTCAGGACCAACCTGGGCAGCACAGTGAGATCTCATCTCTACAAAACATCAAAAAATGAGCCAGATGTGGTGATGTATGCCTGTTGACCCAGCTGCTCAGGAGGCTGAGGCGAAAGGATCACCTGAGCCCAGGAGGTCAAGGCTGTGATAATCCATGATCGTGCCACTGCACTCCAGACTAGGTGACAGAGTGAGACTCCACCTCAACAAAACAAAACAAAACAGAAATGAATGAACCTTCCTGGACCATGCTTGCTGAGGTGTGAGGTGTAAGCTGACTCCACAAGCTGCAGGCATCTTTCCCATGCACCACCTGACCCTTCTGATGGCACATGTAGTGCCAGGGAGCTGAACTCACCCACCTATTTATAAAAGCTGGTACTAGAAAAATGGTCACAGAAGTCCTTGCTGAATGCAAAAGCGTTGTGTCTTGTTTCAGTGTTCTCCTGGAGGAAAGTTTAGCCACGGTGCCCCATCTGGCAGAAAGACTCACCGCTGAGCTCATTTTTCACATCAAAGTAAGTCAATGGGCTGGGTGACAGGTGGTAGAAACAGCAGCCTGCTCAAGTCACTCTCCAGGCCTGGAGTGGGCTAAGATGCCCTGACCTGTTCAAATAAGCAAGCAGATAAGTACAGTCTGCAAACTGCCTCCCTCACAGCTTACAGGAGTGCTCCTGAAATCAGGATGTAACAACCACATGATGTTGAAACAAAGGTTGAATCAGTTCATTTGGGGCAGCAAAACTCTAATACCAGTTTAGCAATGTCAAAAGGAGTAACCACTGAGGTAACAAATTTTAATTTTTTCAATAAATTAACACTTCATAGTATTTAAAAAAAAAATGTCCTGCCTGGGCACAGTGGCTCACACCTGTAATTTCAGTGCTTTGAGAGGCCAGAAGTTTGAGAACAGCCAGGGTAACCTAATAAGACACTGTCTCTACAAAAATTTTTTAAAAACCTTACCAGGCGTGATGGCATGTGCCTGTTGTTCCAGCTACTGGGAAGGCTGAGGGAGGAGGATTGCTTTAGTCCAGGAGTTGGAGGTTGCAGTGAGCTATGATTATGCCACTGCACTGCAGCCTGGGCAACAAAGTGAAACCTCCACTCAATCATAATAAAAATAAATAAATAAATAAATTTTCCTATCCTCAAACTTGTAAGAAATAGTTTGTAAGAAATAAATTTGTTTTTATAAATTTTCAAAAATAGCAACTACAGACAAAGTTCTCGTGGCATCATAAATCATAAGAAAACTTTGGCTTAGTACTTATTGAGAAATCAATATTTTTAGTGCTTGCCTAAACCTTCACAAATGAGGTGAGCATCATGGGAAAATATACGTTTACCCTTAGAGCAAGGATGATTCCAGGTTCTGGGTCCTGGTTCATGCTACATTGTGTGTCAGACAAAGCAATGCATTATTTGTGCCGGGAAGCACACATACATAGAATGTCTGGCCAAAGGGGCCAGTGGTTCTCAAACTTTAGTGCACACAAAAAGTACTGGGGAGTTTATTAAAACTCAGATTCCTAGGCCCTAACTCCAGAGTTTCTGACTTACTAGGTCTAGGGTAGGAGCCATGATTTGCATTTCTAAGTTCCCAGGTGAACCTGGAACATACTTTGAGGAGCACTGATTCAATTAGAATCCCCTGAATTTGAAGGAAAGGCTCTAAAAGCTATATCCGTGCCTACTTGAAAAAATATATATTTTTTGCAAAACATATGTTTTATTTTGATAACTTTTTTCTCAACATTTAAATTTTAAATTTATAATATTTTAAATTAATTTTTTAAATCAAGATTTAATTATGATCATGACAATTTGAAATATCAGAAAAAAATGCTAATATATTTCTGCTTATAGGTACAAACTATCCCCAAAAAAAGATCCTATGAGGGTTTATCCATTTCTTGGTGGGACCCATCTTGTCTGGACTTGTGTTAATTCACAAACCACCTCTAAGTCCCAGTGAGCTCCTCACTGGCTACAACCTCCTCATTCACCAACCAGGAACTGGGGCCACTGCTCCCTGAGGTGTCCACCTGCAGTGCCCATCTTCAGGGGCTGTGTAGCTGGGGGACAGGGTGAGGTTCGACCCTCTGCCACTCACTAGATCTGCAGCCCTAGCAAGTAATTGGATTCTCTGAGCCTTAGTTTCCTCTCTGGCGACAGAGGCAGTGTACTGCAGAGTGGAGCTTAAACAAGATGCAGAGTGTGTCACCAACACCCAAAACACACCACTTACCTGTTCATAGCTTTCAAATTGCCACCAAAACCCCATTTTATTAAAGAAATCCAATATTATATTCAAATGTTCTTGTTCTCCAAATACAAGACCCCAAGACAAATCAATCAACAGCAACAAAACAAAAGCAAAAACTGGCCACCACCCGATTCCTCTCTACTCCAGTAGCCTAACAGATCTGTAGGATTCCAACCCGGGTCATCCAAGCTGTAACACATGCTTTTGCACGCAAAACCTTCCTTCTTCTGGCTCCTCGACAGGTTTCCATCTTAATGAAACACCCTATAAGAGGAACCCCAGCTCCTCTCGAATGCTTTAAAATAGGGGCCTACCCAGATACCTAAGAAAGCTGTCAGCCAGTCTCCTTGGGCTGCAGAGTTTCATTACTCGCAATTGTTTTGTTCAGAAATCACTCCCACTGCTAGAAAAGCAAATAAGGGACAGCCACCAGAGGGCAATCGAGGAACTACGGCGATGCGGAACTGAGATCCCTATGGAGGAAGCCAGCAAGATGTCCTTTCTGATTGAGGTGAGGATTCCCATGGGGCTCCAAGTGATCCTGTGTCCTTCCCTGGTAGCCCCATAGGTCCTGGAGGTAGCCATCAATGCCTTCCTCCCTGGGACAGTGCCAGGACCCCTTGCTTTGCCAACCAGGTCTCAGTTCTTCCATGTGATTACAGCCCAGACTCATGCCTTTATATCATTTTCAGATGATCAAGGCATTTAATCAGGACATTGAAAAGCTAGTGGAAGGAGAAGAAGCTGTGTGGGAGAACGAGAACCGCTTGTATAACAGAGTCAGAGAGGAGTTTAAAACCTGGGTCCCCATACTTGAAACCAATATCCAAAAAGGTAAGTCCTGGGGCAGGCACTCCCCCAAAAGCAGTGTCATATTTATCAAAACCAGAGGCTACTTCCCGCACAAAGCAAGCATGCAGAGAGCCGAACATGCTCATCCAAGAGACTGTGGGTCCCTTAGTAGTCAGTCAGTCATGCTTCCCAACCACCAAGACCCTTCCATATGGGGCACTAACCTCACAACTCAACAAAAGGCAATTCTGCTGCCTCTGATGTCCTTCTTGCTCCTTCCTTTTGAGGCTAAATGATGTTTAGTGCCCATCAGAGAATGCTCAGAGCAGCCCAGGGGGATATGGGCTGGCAATCCTGGGTGCCTTAAAGGGAGCCCTCACCCAAGCCAGGGTCCAGATGAGTCTGTGGGGGCCCCGTGGGAAGGCCCTCCAATCACTATTGTGTTGAGTGCACACCTGCTGGCTGACAGTGGCACTTTCATTGTGTGTCTCAATATCCGCCTTTGAGTTTAGCCTGGTAGAAAAAGTAGCCTGGGTTTATTTTTCATTTTGGTGGACAGAGAACAGTATGGGTGCCAGAGGGCAGAGAGGAGAAATCCACATGAAATCATTCACCAACCTTCACCCTAGAAGTTCTATGGTACCATGATCTGGTTTTAGCAATAAGCAAAGACTAGAGGAAGTGGCAGTTTGTTAACTACCAAAACATGTCCAGGGCCACTAACAATTCCTTCTACCCCAAACTTCCCCTTCTCTTTACCCCTAATCCAAGATCACAGGGATTTCTGATTAGTCATGAGCCTCCTGGCTTCACTTGGCATAGTCCTAACTCCCATGTGATCCAGCCCAGATGCCAATAGGATGTGTGTGTGTGTGTGTGTGTGTGTGTGTGTGTGTGTGTGTGTGTGTGTGTTGTTGTTGTTGTTATTGTTGTTGTTGTTGCTGCTGCTGCTGCTGTATCTTTGTTCTGGCATTTGCTAAGAACAACACTGTTGACTTCCATGGGGGGATCTCACCACCTGCAGTTTGTGGATATAAGCTTGGAGGTCAGTGAGTAAAGTAGTAAAGTTTAAGTTTCTATTTTCACTTAACTAAACAGATATTTATTCATTCATTTATTCATTCATTTTTACCAGTTATAAACATTGAACCCCTCTTGATGATTCTCAATTGTAACACATTTTCATAGAATATTATTTTTGCTTTTCAAATGTCAGTATTTCTTGAACTGCAATTATCAGACACTGACTATTTATTTTTCACTATGAACAAAACAAAACTCCTCTGAAATGCTGCCTTGCCTTGAAAACTTGTCTCAGCAGGGAGCAAGTCTTTTAAAAACTGTTTCTACCTTTAAAAGTTCTGTGGACTTGTTAGAATAAATTCACCATAGTGGTCTGCTTGATGTTGCAGTTAAAAATTTTACTTATGAGGAATTCGAAAAATATGAAAAGCAGTATCGTGGTAAAGAGCTTCTCGGGTTCAATAGCTACAAGACGTTTGAGATCATCGTGCACAAGTACATCCAGCAGCTGGTGGACCCCGCTCTCAGCATGCTCCATAAAGTTGTTGGTGAGGACCGTCATGTGTGTGCTCCTCTCAAAAGATCGCTCTAGTGCCTTCCATAGATCTTAGCACCTTGAAGGGAGAAGTGGGATAGAGTCAGGTCTTCTCTCTGTTGTGCTAGTGAGCTATCTGTGTGACCCCATTGGCACAGCCTGGAGCTGGCTCCACTATAGATTCTTACCTTCCAAATAAGAACATGTCCCGAGGTCTCCAGGTGATTTGAAAGCACATCAAGCACCATATGGGCTTTCTATCCCGGTCCTTCGAACTCATGAAGGAGAAGGGTGGCAGAATGGTTTCCCTTGTCTTTGGCAGGGAGGTGGAGAGGGCACATGAGCTTCACCTATGTCATACGCAGCCCTGGACACAGCCACGTGAGGAGTAGTCAGATGCTGACTGTGGACAGGACACATACCCCATGGAAGAATGGGAAGTTGATAGGACCTTTCCAGGCTGGGTGGAAGCTGTCTTTGTTCCTAGGATCATGTCCCACCCTCTCCTCTGCTCTTGGTTTGCAGATCTGGGGAGCTCAGGCCTGGAATGGGGGTCAATGTATCATGGATTATCTTCCTTGTGTTTTTAACCTATTGAATTCCTGTTTGCATTTGACTGACATTTTGTTCTTTTTTTGGTCAGAAATTGTTCGGCAAGCTTTCAGTGACACTGCCCAAAAAAATTTTAGTGAATTTTTCAACCTTAATCAAGAAGTCCAGGTAAGCACCCAAAGTTCACTTGCTAGACACCTGGACTACTGGCTGTTTTGTCTGGCTCTGACCTTTGAGAGACGATTGGATATTTACTGTCACTTGGAGCTACGGGGCCAGGGTTGTAATGGCAGACTGGTGAGGCTGGCAATACCAAGAGCGTTTGCCTATTTGGCTACTGCTCAGAAGTCATCTTCACTCCCCAGGAGAAATGAAGCAAGGCATGTGACCCACTACTTGTTCTGTGTGGCCTTATGTAGCATGGCAGGACACAGGGCTATACCTAGGAACTGGCTGGTAGTTTAAATCTTTTTCAAGCATAAGGGACAGCATTGTCTACTAATCCTACTTGTACAACATTTGTACAAGTTTGACTTAAAAATACTGTCACAGCTCTTAGCAACTCTTCCCTGAACTCTTTCAGTAAAGGGAAATAAAGAGATGTTCCGACCCCAACCCAGGCTCTAAATAAAAAGCCTCTTCTACCCATGCCTGGGCTGGAGGGTTAAAACCTCTTTCTACAACTCAGGTGAGCAAAAAAGACAATTTCTGTCATTTTTCCTTAATGTAACTTGGTTTCTCCTTTTACCCCTTTTGTCAGTTGGTGGAAATTAAATCTTAGCTCTGACTCTTGTCAATTTTTCAGGGGCTGTGTCTGAGTCCTGGGTGCCTCATCATGGAGTGGGTGATGTGCCTGATTCTTAATCGCCAAGATGCCCGCCATCCTTCCTGGGCTTTGGTGGTTGGTCTCCTTGGTGCTGGAAGGCTTGAGAGGGTATTTTAGCAGGGGAGACCCTCAACTTCAGCCTAGTATCCAAATTCTTGACACCATCTTGAGAAAGAATTCAAGGATGAGTCAGAGTGAAGCAAAAGCAAAGGAGGTTTATTATAAAACAAAAGTACACATAGAGAGAGGGAGTGTGGGTATACTCAAGAGAGTGAGTCATGCCCTACAGGGCTTGAGATCTTTCTCTTTATAACTATCTCCAGCTAAGAGGTAGAATATTCTTCATATTAGGGTGCAGAATAGTCATGAGTTTTCTGAGAAAGAGGTGGGAATTTCCTGGAATTGGGTACCTTCTTTTCTGTCCTTATTTGATCAAAACTGAACTATCATGGCACTGGTGAGTGTGTCATTTAGTATGCTAGGGAGGGTTAATGGGCCTGGAGGTCGCTTGCTGGCAAATTTGTCACCATGTTGGATCTAGCAAGTCTTAGCTGGTTTGACTACATCCTGTTTTTATTGGCTCGTTGTAGCTGGTTGTTAACAGTTCCTCCTTGATTGGTCATGTGATTTCTTAACTTGCTGATTTTTTCCATCCTCTTGAGACCACCGGGTACTATTCCTGTCTCACTTTGTGTCCCTGTGCTCAGAGCTGGTTCCCTTGAGCTCCTGCTCTGCCCTATTGGGGCATAAGATGCACTCTGCTGTAGGCCCTAGCTGCCCTGAGGCCACAGAAACTTCAGCACCCACCAAAGACCTTCACCTCATTTGTGCTGCCCTTGGATAAACACAGCCTTGCAATGGCTCCCAGGACCATGCCAGGGCCTGTGGGACTCTCCAAAGCCATGGTCCACACACTTGCCCCACTGTTTGTGCTCTACCCTCCCTGAGCCACATCAGAGCCTGGAATACTAGTCACCTTCCATATTACAAATTTGGGGAAGTAAGGCACTTCTTACTTGCTGCTTCTGCTCTCAGACCTCAAACCTGTGAGATGGTCTACTGTCCACTGTTGCAACATATAAAGAAGGAAAACCAGCACCTGTGAAACTCCCTGGTGAAACTTCTCTCTAAAACTCAACCTGTCTCTCTCAAACCAATGCTTCTTCCTTCAGTTTTTAAAAGTCTGTTGAAACTCCAAAGCCAAGGCATGCTGTGTTAGTCAGTTCAGGCTGCTATCACAAAGTACTATAGATTGGTGGCTTATTATCAATTAAAATGTGTATCTCATAGTTCTGGAGGCTAGAAGTCTGAGATCAGGGTGTCAGCCCAGTCAGATTCTGGTGAGGGCTCCTTCAGGTTGCAGACAGCCACCACCTTCCCATGAATCCTCAAATGTAGGAAAAAGAGCAAGACAGCTGTCTGGGGCCTCTTTTATAAGGGCATTAAACTCATTTGCAGGGGCTCCACCCTCATGACCTAATCACCTCCTAACGTCTCACCTCCTAATATAATCACGTTGAGGGGCAGAACTTTAACACATGAATGTGGGAAAGCTCAGTCTATTGTAGTGACTCCTCTCTATTGTATCATTCCTTTCTTTCCCAGAATACCTTTGACTGCATGGGAAACATAAGAGTCTCAGGATTTCTGGGAAATATATCAAGCTACTACCCCACTGTGTTCGGTAGTACTGGAGTCATTCTTGAGGGCTGGAATTCAAGCAGTGTAGAGTCGCAGGAATGACTGATGCCTTCATAAAAATGTGGAGTCAACCTGATGCAGGAAGCAGAAAGCTGGCGGTGTGGGAGGGCACAGGGGTGGGGCAGAGAGAATGAAAGAGCAGGAGAGGGCTAGTTGGCAATGGCATGGGGGTAGTGATGGAATGTGGTTAATAAGGAGAGCACCAGGAGTGAGGTAGGACCTTCCAACAATCACTATTTCAAGTTTCAGGCCCTCTTTGACCTTGGATTATTTTAAACTGTGGGTTCATATAACAGTACTTAAATTGTTTATGCAAAAGGAAGGAAAAGAAGTAATGTGTTTGTCTTATCTAACCAGAAAAAGATTGAAGACTTCAAAGTGATATATGCAGAAAAGGCACAAGACATCATCCAACTTCAGTTCAAAATGGAGAATACGGTTTTTTGTCAAGATTGCATTTACAGCCTGATTCTGAAGAATACCCGAGAAGATGTTTTTCAATCACTGGCGAATCTTTCAAACAGTAGTCAGTTCAATTCCTCTGCCTCAAATAACCAGACTTTAATGTCATCAATTATTGAAATAAGTGTCCACCTGCACTCATATTTTCAGGTGAGTTCCCAGGTGAAAGGATCATTTCACTCTAGTGTCTGCTGAGCAAAAGGTGGGCTGTTCTGACCAAGAGGGACTTCACTAAGGGATAGAGAGAGAGACTACTACCTTTTTGTATGATGCTAATTACTTACATATTACCTCGCTTATAATTTTACGGGAACCCAGTGTAGACACTTTTGATTAATTTTCCCCAAATCAACTTTTTAATCTAGCAGATCATGTACTCAAAATTAATTCCAACCCCAAATTCTTTATATTTTATATGCAATATGTGAATTACATAATTACCATAATCAGAATACAGCAAAATACAACAAACACTAACAATACTGGCTATAATTTAGCTTTCAGAAGGCACTCGACTCTTACCGTGCCTCAAACTAACTAGCTCCACAAAACAGGAATGAAATTTCCTTTCCCTAGATTTTGCGACCCAATGAATTATGTGGCTTCTGCCCCTCCATTCAACAGGCAAATATTAGGGTGCCTAAAAAGGAAAAGGGAAAACAGCCCAGCTCCTGAAGCCCTTTCTTAATCAGAATAGAGAGTAGAGTACCTTTACCGTGGGTGTCTGGCTGCCAGGGAAGCTGGCCATGCATATGAAGACAGGGAATGAGGTGAGAGTTTGAAGCAGTCCCTCCCCAGAAGGGAGCCAAGGGAACCCTGGGTCAGCTGGTGTTTCCAGGGCAGAGGGACAAGAGCTCCTGGAAGCCCAGAGGTGGCCTGCTAGGGGGTTCTTAGTGCCAAGAGGATGCCTGTGGGTAAAGAGGCAGCCCAGAGAGGATCTCCAAGGGGTTCGAGGCTGATTACTGAAGTGAAAGGGGCAGGGGCACCAGGGCTTAGAAGGGCAGCCAGGCATGCATCCAAGAACTCTGAAGCATCTCTCTGCAACCACAGGCCTTGGGCCGAGGCTTCTCCAGTGAACCCTCTTATCCTTCCAGGAAATGGCCAGACGTCTCGCCAATCAGATTCCATTCATAATTCAGTATTTTATGCTCCGAGAAAATGGCGACTGTTTGCAGAAAAACATGATGCATATATTACAGGACAAAGATCGCTATTCCTGGTTGCTTCAAGAACAAAGTGAGACTGCCACCAAGAGAAAATTCCTTAAGGACAGGATTTCCAGACTCACTAAGGCGCAGCAAACACTCCATATATTCTCCTTGGAAGAATTTACTGAGGGGTGACAATGCTCATGGTTATTTTCTTACATGCATGTGTTCATTCTGCTTTGGGGTCAGACTCTTCTGCTGTTGTCTGTGTCCATCTAGGCTGTTCTGCCCTCATCACCGGAGCTTATATCAAACTTCCCCATGGACTCAACTGTCACCTCAGCTGAGTTCTTCCCTGACCTCCAGGAAAAGATGGTTTTCTGGTCCTGGGCCCCATAGCACACAGTTACAGCATTCTTAGATCAGCTATCAGTCTTTGATAATTTATCTTTGCATTCACCCATTAGATTATGAGACCCTAGAGGGGGAGGGTCTGTGTCAAATTCTTCATTTGTATTTGCAGAATCTTGCACAACACCCAGAGCACAGTAACCACTTAATATATGATGTCTTATGAACCAAAGTGAAGTGATGGGGACACCTATGCCATCACTTAAGCCCAGGCCTTTGTTGTTTAGTGCTCCTTAGCTGGTCACTTTCAGATGCATCCAGTCATGCCACCTGCTTCCCATCCTTCACTGTAATTATGTTTCCCAGCCCTCCCAGGCCCCATAGAAATGAGCTTGGTACTGTTTTCTCCTTGAATAGTTTCCCTGATTGCAATGGGTTTCCATTCCCTTGTTAAGTCTTAAAGAGGAATTTAATAAAGAGAATTTTTTTTTTTAAAATACAGAATTTCACACCAGCGATCATCTCTAGTGTGGAGGATGGTGGGCAATTTTATTCTTCTTTACACTTTTCTGTATTTTCCAAATAAGGAGCATGAATTTCTTAATAATAAAAAAAAAAGACAAGAGGATACATATCATTATTTGTTTGTTTTTAAACCCAAGTTTGAGATGGAAAGAGTACCTCTAAAACATTCTGCCCTTGGTCGGGGATACAGACAAGGAAGATACACAAGACATATTTTTTTCTTCATTTGCTGTAAAAGAAGTTGGAGAAGAAAGTCCAAGTCCAAATCACAGCTTGACTAGCATCCCCTAAGAAGCATTTCACTAACACATGACAGTGTATTATTAGTGTGCTATGGCTGCCATAACAAATATCACAGACTGAGTGGCTTAGATAGCATAAATTTATCTTCTCACACTTTCAGAGGCTAGAAGTCTGAGGTCAAGGTGTTGCTAGGTTTGGTTTCTCCTGAGGCCTCTCTTCTTGGTTTACAAACCGCTGCCCTCTCACTATGCTTTTTTCTATCTTTCAAGGATACCAGTCCTGTTGGCTCAGGTTCCCACCCTTATAACCTCATGTAACATTAATTACCTCTTTAAGTACCCTATCTTCAAGGCAGTCACTTTAAGGGTTAGGGTTTCAACAAATGAATTTCAAAGGGGTGCCCTAATTCAATCTATAACAGCAAGTAAGAAAATAAGCACATGCATTCTGAACACAAAATTTAATCAATGACCAAAAGTTTGGGAGAATTTATCTCTCATTCATAAGCCAACAATAACATTGATTAGTGATTGTCTAATAGTGATACTATACAGAGGAATGTTTCCCCAAGAGATGACTTTGCAGATTTTAGATTTCCTTCTTTATCTGCTGTGATGTTATGCCAGAAACAGGTGGGAAAGTCAGCAACATTATATAGGGTTAATAAAAACCCATCTGCTGAGATTTTATAGGGTGTGACTCCCCAGGTCCCTAAGTTAGGAATTTGGAAAAGAAAATAAAAAGAGTTTAGTCCTCAAGCAAGACAATTAAAGGCAACCCTTCAGAACAGGCAAGGATGCATGTAGCATATAATCTGTGTGATAACATCGAGGTTGCTTTGATCTAAAAGCAGGAGTACATGTTCTTTAGCTAAGGACAGTAAATAAAGTAGAAATCAGGAGGCATTCACAGGACTGAGGTTAATCAGAAGCCAACATGGCGGATGAGCATCCAAGATGGAGTCTCTTTTGTCTCCATACCCTGAATGTGCATTCAAATTAGCAGCAGTTACAAGTGGATTTTTAAAGGCAAAATAGGGGGGCAGAGAGTGAGCAAACACAAAGTTGTTTGTCAGAAATTCTCATCGATGTACAGAAATGGCATTGATTGGCAAAACACCGTCAAGCTATAGCGTATGGGTTACAGCATCCAGTGTGGCATTATTAGATTAATTCATAGCTACTTGTGGCAGTAGCAAGCAGTTTTAAGAGATGAATACAAGCTCAATTGCTGTCTCTTTTTAATGTCTCTCTGGGCCTGATAATTAAAAGGACATGCATGCCTCAGATAAAATTATTTTCTTTTCTCAAGAACAATGGAGAAAGGCTGCCCAGCTACCTGTACCTACAGTACCTCTTATTGTGGCTGGTTGGAAGCTGGGTGGGTTGCCCAGTTTCTATGGGATAAGCTTCATGGACACTCACTCATTTTTAGTACTTGGGAATTATCTGAAGTAGCATACTTACCCATAAATCTCCCTCCTTGCTCAGAGAGTCTGGAGAGGAACCACAGAGGCCCAGCCCCAAATACTTCTTGCACTGGCTTCTAAGATGAGAGATAGCTGGCACTTGTAGACACGTGTTTCAGGAGTGAGAATAAAAGAGGGATGGCCACCATCAGAAATATCAGTTCTGGGTCTCCTGAATGGGAAAGACTGCCCTGGGGGACAAGGCCTGACCCTTGACTGAGTTACACTCTCATGAGCCCCCATGCTGGAGGTTACCTGTACTAAGTGCCTAGCATGCACCTGGCACCGTGGGTACAGAAATCTATAGCACAAAACTGAGTTTTGCAGGCCTCGGCTAGCCTCAGGTTTGTGACACAAATAAGTATCAAGGAAAGCTTTGCTTGTTTGCTGTTATTATTTTTTAGAGAAAGGGTCGCTCTCTGTTGTTCAGGCTGGAGTGTAGTGCATGATCATAACTTACTGCGGCCTCTAAGTCCTGGGCTCAAGCGATCCTCCTGCCTCAGCCTCCCAAGTAGCTGAGACTACAGATACACTCCACCATGGCTGGCTAGTTTTTTAAGTTTTTTCATACAGACAGGGTCTCACTATGTTGCCCAGGCTGGTCTCAAACTCCTGGTCGCAAGAGATCCTGCTGCCTCAGCCTCCTGAGTTGCTGAGATCCCAGCTCAAGGATAGTATTAGTGGGCAATACTTTCACCATTTCTCCTTTGTATCAGAAAATGAGCTTTGACCACCTTGTCCATGAATCCTTCCTGAACACTTTCCTCTCGTCTACCCCAGCACCACCCCAAAGCCCTCTCCTGGGTGCCCAGTGCTCCTGGATTGAGCTTCCAGAGTAGCACATAGCTGCTAGTGCCTTGAGCTTATCCTTTGTTTACTCACCTGCGCCCCCTACCTGTCTCCTTATAAGCAGAGGCTTTGTCTTATTTATTTGTATGTACCAAGCCTCCAGCATAGAACCTAGCATGGTGCCCAATAAATGTTTGAGAAGGAATGGGAGAGGAGGGGAGGGGAGAAGAGGGAGGAAAAGAGGACAGGAGGGAGAGAGGGAAAGTGCTTTTGCTCCCCTGCTCCCCGGATCCCTCATATAATGGAATTTGCCACAATGCAATATTTCTTTTATGTGTGTAAATGCCTGTGGGCAGCTGGCTCCTACCTGGGAAAAATGATTTTGGAAAGGCCACCAGACCTTCCCCAGTATTGTAAACACCTGTGTTGGTGGTGCAGGGGCCAAGGAAAACTTCACCTTCACCCTTTGCAGTTTCCATGAAAAATCAGCTAATCAACTCACAAAAGGTAGATTAGGGCATGTTGGCTCCTACCTATAGTCCTAGTTACTCAGGAGGCTGGAGTGGAAGGATCGCTTGAGTCCAGGAGGTCAAGGTTGCAGTGATCTGGAATCATGCCACTGCACTCTAGCCTGGGTGAGAGAGTGAGACCCTGTCTCAAAAAAAAAAAAAAAAAATCGGCTAGGGTGGGTGGCTTAGCCTATAATCCCAGCAGTTTGGGAGGCCAAGGTGAGTGGATTGCCTGAGCCCAAGGATTTGAGACTCACCTGGGCAACTTGGCGAGATCTCGTCATTACAATAAATCAAAAATCAGCCGGGCGTGGTAGCGCGTGCCTGTAGTCCCAGTTACTTGGAAGGCTAAGGCAGAAGGATCGCCGGAGCCCAGCAGGTTGAGGCTGAGGTGGCTGGGAACCTGCCACTGCACTCCAGTCTGGGCAAGAGTGAGACTCCAATTCAAAAAACAAAAACAAAAAGCAAATTAATTAGAAAAGGCATGCAAATTTATTCACGTGCACATGGGGAAAGACCACAGTGATTATCTCCACCCCACTCCACTGAGGGTTCAGAAGCTTATATACCATCCTGAGGTTACAGAAAGATCAGGGCTTGGATGGTGACAAACCAGGTTATGGGGGGGGGGGGGAAGGGGG